GTGTTTGCAGCTCCGTCTTTACAATAGGAGCATATGCAAAATAAAAGCATCAATTCCTTTAAAAAGTCTATAAGTAGCTCTGAGTAGGTCATAATGTTTCAGGTTTCAGTGTTATTTCTTGGCAGTAAAAGAAAAAAACCGCTTCCTGTGTTCTCGTCTGCTCTCTTATTTAAACAAAAAGATTTTTTAAACAATTTGCATACGTCTTCCTATTATTGTGCTGTAGAAAACGTGTGCTAATGCAAAGTATGACTTTATAAAGGTAAAAATATACAGCACACTGTACAGATTTAATTCCATTTGCTTCCTTTTTCTACTGAAGAATATGAATTTAGAAAAAAGAAAATTGATTATTATAAGCAACTCCACGTCAAAGTGGAATCCACATATTTTAGCTTTATTTTAAATAATCTTTATATAACATGACATTCTTAATAACAATCTTAATTATAACCTTACATTTCAACACGTATTGCATATGAAGTTGCAGCACTAGAGTCTTTTTTTTTTTTTTCCCCACAAAAACAAGCCATCAGCTCCCAGGGGACCTAAAAAAAGCAGACAACACAAGGCTTCCTGCGCTCACACTTGACTGCAAACCGCTTACTGCTTGTAAATTAGACATGCAATAACACCTCTGCCACAATTAATAACCAGAAATTCAATATTGTAAACAGGCGATAACTGGTGAATTATCCAGTTTTTAAGGGAAACTCAAAAATAAAGCAAATAAAACCGCCCATTTCACAGAGGACTACAGAACAGGATGATATAATAACCCAAACATTACCTAGAAATTCTCCAAATCTAAGAGCAACAAGAAGGTCAGAACAACTTTGATGGTTGATTATGTGAAAGACCTCTGTAAAAGTTTCTAGAGACGCTTTCATGAGGCTAATTTTAGGTGTTTAGTCACACTGTGAGCCAAACACAGCAGCTGTGCACAGCTGTGGCTCAGGAGCCAGAGCGGGTCGTCTGTTCAATTCATTTTTTATTTACATAACACCAGCTCATAGAAAACTAAACAGGAGAGGAGTCCTGGCATATAAACACACAGGGAATGAAAAGAAGGGAGCCGAGAGGAACTGAAGTGCATCATGGGAAGTTCCCGGGCCCATAGTAGCATATCTAAGGGATGGTTCAGGGACACCTGATGAAGCCCTGAGTGTAAGCCTTACCAAGGCTATTCTGGTAATCAGAAGGTCAGCAGCTCGATCCACTGCTCCTGCATCAATCTATAACTCATCCTGATTGGGTGTCAAATATAAAGTTCTTAAAACAAGATCCTGTATGAATGTGCAAGTAAAAATGCATAAAAGCAGTTTGAATGGTTAAAAATCTAAACATAATCTATTTAATATTGATCTAAATTCAGTTTGCAATCATTTCTTTAATATTAATATTATCTTTAATATTAACTAGTTAACTAGTATTTACTACTTATTTAGACTCTTTTTCTCCAATTGATCATCAATGTGTCTTTTATACCCCAGTCCTACAAAAGTCCTACGATTAATTAATGTTTCAATCCTAAATATGATCAACCGATCTCCAACTAACAAATAAATAAATAAAAACAAAAGGCTCTTTATCATAGTCTTTCATCAAGGAGGTTTTTAGGGATGAAAATCATGTTGTATGTACATTGTATGAATTATACTGTGTGGAAATCAATTTTAAGTGCACCTGGGAATATTTGTTGAACAAGCAGCTGTAGCATTGGTTATGTACCACTGACGTTCAAGCTGGCAGTAGTTAAACCGTTAGCTGATCCAGCTGCCTTAGCTAATTATAGGCCAATGTCAAAAGAGTAGCTGTAACAGCTAACAGATCATCTGCAGAGTTATGATTTATTTAAAGTCGGGTTTCAGAACTCACCACAGTACAGAAATGGTTATAAATGTAAAGGTTATAAATGATCTTCTTCTGGCCTCTGACAGCAGATTCATCTCTGTACTTGCCCTGCTCGACCTCAGTGCAGTGTTTAATACTGTTGCCCATAATACTTTACAGCGATTAGAGCCTGCTGTAACTATTACAGGTACTGTGCTGCAGCTGTTTGAATCATAACCATCTAATAGGCTCCAATTTATTTATGTAAATGGAGAATTGTCTTCACACACTAAGGTTAATTATGGAGTTCCACAGGGTTCAGTGCTAGGACCCATTCTGTTTCCATTATACACACCTCCCTTAGGCAGTATCATCAGAAGCCATAGCATAAATTTTCACTGCTATGCAGAAGACACCCAACTTTATCTATTCATGAAGCCAGATAACACGCACCAATTAGTTAAACTGCACGAATGTCTTAAAGATATCAAGATCTGGATGACCTCTAAATGTCATGGTCCTGGGGTCGCTGACCCAGCGTTTTGACTTTATTGTTATTATTTTCTAGCTTCTTCTGATTGGGTATCAGTCCTTAGGGTTTTTTGGTTCTTGTGTCTTGTTGTATCCCGGTGTTGTGTTCGTGTCTTTCAGTGTGTGTTTATAAAACAGTGTACTTCCTGTTTTACTTTGATGGTCTATGTCTGTTCACACTGTGTTCACCTTGTGTCTTCCTGTCATCACGTCCATTAGGATCAGCTGTGCTTCCCTCCTGTGTGTCATTGCGTGTGTGTGTATATATAGTGGGTGTCGGTCTGTGCTCTTTGTCGGCTCGTATGCGTTAGTTGGCGTTTCTCCGCGTCTCTCTGCCCTCATCCCACGTTGCTTCCTGTATGTGGCGTGTTCCAGATTTGTTCTTTAATTTTCCCCCAGTTCAGGTCATTTCTTAGTGCTGTCCTTACCACTCTCGCTTTTGTTTGTATATCGCTGGTTGTAAATAAAACGCTCACTCGCATCAAGCCAGTGCCTGCATTTTGGGTCCACACCAGACGGCTTTCCCGGCAACCCGTGACACCAATTTTCTGCTTCAGATAAAACTGAGATTATTGTACTCGGCTCTACGAATCTTAGAAAAATGGTGTCTAACCAGATTCTCACTCTGGATTGCATAAGCTTGGCCTCCAGTTAATGAATGATTTAACGATCAGGTATAATTTCTTAACCTAAACTGGACCAGTATAAAAGTGCAGCAGTTATAAAGTCAAACATGTCCAACTTTCCAGTTTTACAGGTAAAGCCGGCGCAGATGAAACGAGGTGAAGCTGCCATCTTTTAAAAATATGTTTTTCTAATGTGAGCAGATACCTTATGGAAACTTTTTGCTTTTCTGTGTCACTCTTCACAGGTTACTTCCTCGGGCTAAGCTGCATCCTTTACAGGTCACCCAAATAATGTGCAAACGTTTTTTCACAGCCGCACTCTCATCAACTGTGCTGCAGTGACTGTAGATCACGTTGGCTTTCATCTTGACAATGGCTAAAGAAGTGTTTGGTATTTTACACACCTGTGAACAAACTCATGTGTGTAATTTAGCACTTACATAATAAATGAAAACGTATCTGCCTTACTAGATCTTAGTGCCGCAGATGCTGCAGATGACACCCAACTTTATCTATTAGATTTTATTCTTAGAAACATGGTATCTAACCAGATTCTTATTCTGGATTGCATTACCTTGGCCTCTAGTAATACTGTGAGAAAACCTGGAGTTGTACGTGTAGTTTAGTATATGTAGAACTGCTTTCTTTCATTTGTGCAATATTTCAAAAATTTGAAAAATCCTGTCTCAGTGTGATGCTGACAAACTAGTTCATGTGTGTATTACTTCTAGGTCTTGAATAGGCACCATCTTGTTTTAACAATCGTATAGTACCGTATCTCCCCATTAGAGCACTTCACCCTGAAACTGTAAGCTTACTTGTGGGCTTACTCTAGCTTACTTGTGGTTCCTAGAGTATTTAAGTGCAGAATGGGAGGCAGAGCTTTCAGCTTCAAGGCACCTCTCCTGTGGATCCAGCTTCCAGTTTGGATTCACGAGACAGACATCCTCTTTATTTTTGAGATTAGGCTTAAAACCATCCTTTTTAATAAAGGATATAGTTAGGACCCCGAATCCTCCCTTAGTTATGCTGCAATAGGTCTAGGCTGCTGGGGAATTCCCATGATGCATTGAGTGTTTCTTCTTCCATCACCTTTTTCACTCACTATGTGTTAATAGACCTCTTTGCATGTAATCATTACCTATTATTAATCTCTGGCTTTCTTCCACAGCGTGTCTTTGTCTTTGTCTTCCTCCCCTAACCCCAACTGGTCGTGGCAGATTGCCCCCCACCCTCCCTGAGCCCTCTCAGGTTCTGCTGGAGGTTTCTTCCTATTAAAAGGGAGTTTTCCCTTCCTACCCTCACCAAAGTGCTTGCTCATAGGGGGTCATATGATTGTTGGGGTTTTCTCTGTTTTCTTTGTATTATTGTAGGGTCTTTAAGATGCAATATAAAGCACCTTGAGGCAACTGTTGTTGTGATTGGGCGCTATATAAATAAAACTGAATTGAATTGAACTTTCCATTCAGTCTTAACACATCATAGCCAGAGTATTGTAAGCTCCATACTTCAGTAAACTTTATTATATTAGTGATTAGTTAACAAGAAAAAGATAAAAAAGAAAATGCCGTTTAGCATCACGTCATATATGTTTTAGTGTCAGAGCTTTTTAGGGATGAAATTATATCGTATGTATGTTTTATGAATTGTACTGTATGGAAATCAATATCAAGTACACATGGGAATATTCACTGAACAAGCAGTTCAGTTTAACACTTAGATTTCTGTCTCAGTAACTGTTAAATATAATGCTGAATAAAGAAATGCCCAAGACACTCAACAGTAAAATTTAATATGTACTCTGTTGCACTTGTAACCACTGTAAGGGTAGGACGGGTTTACTGCTAACTGCAGAAGATGAAATATGGGCGAGTACTAAACATGGAGAGTGCAGAGTTTAACAACAGAAATATCATTTTACTAATAAACGCTGCAAAGTGGGACATTTTAATTATTTTGTAAGATAATGATATTTTCTTAGTTGAAGCAATTTGAAGACTGTGTGCTTACCTGCCGGCTCGGAGAGTGTGGCCTCTCCCACCTGTTTGTAAGGGTTGAACTTGGGCTTGGGGGCGACCACAGGTGCAAACTTCTTAGGTGCCTGCTGCTGCGAGACGGAGATGCTCGCACTACCCAAAGATGGAGTGGTCTCCATCCTGGCAGTCACCTGTCCTGTCTGCTCACTCACTGGGTTCCACATGGTTCTAAGGAGGGGACACAGAGTTATTAAAAGTCAGGGGCTGCAAACTCAATAGTGATGCAGAAATTAAAAGTGGGACAACAAATTTAACGGGTGGGGTGTGATGTTAACTGTGACAAAGCGCAGGTTTCTCTGCATGCATACTCGATGAGGAAACAGAGACAATGGAGATTTTACTTCTCAAATTACAGCCTGCAATGGCAAGCGGGAGCATTAATATTGTTCACATGACAAATAATGATGCTAAGTGTATGGATACCAGCTAAATTGGTAAAGCAGCAATAAATTACTACATTTACATGATTATTTCTTCACTTTTTGAACTCGTTTTGTAAAACTAATTGTAACACAGGAGCCCACAGACGTTGCGCCACTCTCTCCGAGTGATGTGGAAACAAGTAAGGTCCAAAGTAAGACATGCTAACCAGGTCAGTTCTGAAGCATTCTGATGTAGAAAACTACTGTGAAGGACTGTCAAGTAAACTAGTGATGTTAATAGAGCAAAGCCCAACCGTAGGTTTAAGGTCCACCAACATGTGGACCCTAATCGGATGAAGTAAGCACGGCTGATATCAGCCACAGTCAGCAAACTAACATTGCGTGTGTTATAGATGAAGCAACGACCACACATTTCAGGAGCAACTAAAATATAATTTGATAACATCAATAACAGTTTCAAAATGCTCTTAAATATTTAAAACCCATGTATTGCGATCAGGAGTGTTCTACTTTTAGTTGGTTATTTTTTGAAAATTAGGCTACGTCCACACGTACTCGGGTATTTTTGAAAACGCAGGTTTTTCTATGCGTTTGCACCTTTCGTCCACACGTAAACGGCGTTTTCGGTCACTGAAAACGGAGATTTCTAAAAATGCCTGCCAGGGTGGATATTTTCGAAAACTCCGTTTTTGTATTTAGGTGTGGACGAGAAAAACGGAGAAAACGCAGAAAACGCAGCGTCAAAGGTGTGCGCCTTTTTTGACGTCACACTGTGCGCCACGTTATTGTTTCGGTGAAATTAATTTCTACAATACTGTTAATTGTACTCTCTGCAGTGTTTAAATGCTTACGTATTACATACAACTCGGCTCTGCTTCTATGCCCCAGCTTTGTTTACTATTTCCCACCGAGGCTTCTAGACTTCTGATTGGCCAACATTTCTACAGGTTAGGAATATATCGCCACCTGTTGCTTTGGCATGTTCCTAGCAGCGTTTTCCTTCATTTCTGCGTTTACGTGTGGACGGGATTTTAGTCACCAGGGACATCCCTACTTATAACATGAAACAGAAACCCTGCCCTTAGACTGCCCTTTCACCTTTGGCTGACATTTGGCAACAGGATGGGTGCACTAACCATGTATGAACGTTAGCAATGAAAAAAGTGCTTGTATGAATGCGTGTGAATGAGCATGAGTAGAAAGCACCATATAAAAACCAAATCCATTTACCATTTGCTTTTGTCTCTGTCTCCAAACATCCATCCCTAACCCTGCAAGCACGACTAAAAATCTGAATATTTACACCCAGCTGTACATGACAGCAGTACGAACTGTGCTTTTACTCACATTCTTTAAATTGCTCAAGTTCAATGTGAGTTTGACAGTTTCAGTGAGACCCGACCTGCTGCATTAAACACCTTCTATGTGTCACCGTTTCTGCTTTATAAAAGAAGTGACTGAGGCCACTGTATCCACATGCAGCACAAGTTACACCAATTATAAGCGTACACAGCTCACGTCTACTTTTTTCTCCCCGACGACGGAGTCTGCTTGAAAGCGTCTGGCAGAATTACGCTGTAAAACGAAAAACAAGGCAATAAACAGCGTGTTCTGACATGCAGCAAAGTGTCCGATTTAATAAAGCAACAACAAGCGTTAAAGTCGAAAGGAAATCACTTTGAACTCTGACTCTGAGCCTTCGCTTTCTTTACTTGCGCACTTGCTTGCGATGTCGGCACGAGATCAACAAATCAAAAGAGTGATATGAGAGACAAAGAGCGGTGAAAACAACAAAGTACTTTAAAAACAAAAAGACTTTGGAAGAGGAAAGAGTATTGAAAAATGCTGTAACCCTGATGTAACCATCAATGATTTTTTTTTAGCGTTGATGTAGCTGTCAAAAATGAGATCAGATGAGTGTTTGGGAATGACAGAACAATGATCCACAGTCACGCACGCACACACAAAGAAACAACACTTGACTACTTATTACTTAATTTCATGTTGCTTCTGTTGTCTTTGTTTTTGGTGCATGAGAGTCGAACTTATCAAAATGTTCCAAAATGGCACCAAGTCTCACCTCTAACCGATGCTTTTGTTTAACATGCATGTCGGTAACACAGTTCCAGTGAAGGGAAGACCACCACAGAGTGGAGGAACTTGCAGCAGCTGAGGACACAAACCTCCAGTATTTCACCATCGCATTCTGAAATCACTTGAAATATTTGAACTATTTATACGGCGTGCTTTTCCCCATCCTTCTTTTTGTTTGTGTTTGTTGTGCTGTGTTCTGATGTTTTTACTGTTTATTATCCTCACTCTGACTGATACAGGGTTTACATTCTTTCTCCGGAGCACAGCAGTAAAAGCCCACGCACAATCATCTTTTAATATCTGCTCAAATCCCTGCTCCTCCTGCCGTCTGAATGGTTCTTACTTTTGATTCCCCCCCCCTCCCTTCTCTCATGCTCTTAATGCTACAATTCAGACGCTCGCTGGTGTCTCACACCCACCTGTCCTTTCAATGCAAATGCTTTCATTTCCCAATGCTCAAATGGCTAACAAAATAAAAGATGAATTGAAAGGGGAAAGGAGGGAAAGAGAAGAAATGATCTTAGGATGTGTGAGTAAGACTCAATATGTGACATCCTGAAAGGAAAATTTCTGTGTCAGTGTGTGGTTGCATTCTTTGGCGATGGCAAATAATGCGCAGCGGGGCGTCGCTTTATGGATACTGGGCCCTAAAGTGCACATTAAACCCACTCACATCTGTTATTTTAAATAAAATTTCTGCAAAACAAGTGACTTCTGTGCCGTTCCGAGCGCACAACACAGAAGCCACTTCACTGATGACTTCAACATATAATCATTCCTGTGATTCATAGATTACGCGTGCGATCAGCTAGGCTTATAAATTGCAGCGGCCTTCATTTTAAACAGAAAATCACGACTGCACTGAAATAATAATTCAGGACTGCCCTCGAATAAAAATCTCTGATTGTGTTTAAAAAAATGTGACCTCTTTTTAAAAATAGTTTAATAACAGTGCTCTGGAGCGGCGTGCGAGTTTAAGGTTTCAGGGCTGCAAAGCGAAGCCACTTCCTGGATGCTTTAGAGACTGTCTGGATGGGAGTGCGCCGTTTCATAGCAGCAGTCTTCCTCAGCAGGTCTTCTCGCAATCTTTTGTGCGCTACATATTAATTGACTATGATCAATATGGTCCAGTGACTTGTGATGCAGTTTACCCCGGAGGCACCCTGGCGGGGGTTTTTTAAGCTCAAAAAGGCTGCACGCGGGCGTGTCACACGTATGCGTAAATTTCAGCATTTCATCTGTCAAATGATTTTTTTCCCCCCCTTCTTTTAAAACATGAACAAATAAACTATTTGAAAAACACACACTCTCTTCATATGGCTTAAAGTGCCATTATTTTATCCATTCAAGGTCTACTCTAGAGAGCAGTTTATTTCAGAAATGTACTTCAGCAGTCCAAAGCTTCTCCTTTGTGTAAATAACAGAAGACTGGCTTTTTCACAGATGAGGTTGAGGGTGGAAGCAAACAAGCCATCTACTGCAGTGGCAGCTTACATTTAAACCTGTCTAATAAACACTCAGTGCTGAAAAAGGACCACGAAAAGTGGCAAGGAACTCCAGCAGAGCCCGTTATGTGAAGGCTTGAAATGGTGACATACAACGAGACACAAAATATACAAAAAATACAGAGAGATGAAAAGGTTTCCACATCTAACAACTGATCTGATTAGAATTAAAGTGCGTCAACTATGACATGCGTGCATAGTGATTATGATTTTCAGTGACAGGAAGTGTTTAGGCCAGTCTTTCCCAACGCCTCATCTCTACAGACGCAGTACAGAGTAAAAGTTATCAGCTATGAGCCACACAAGACTAAAGACGCTTAAACCAGAGGTCTGCCTAAACTGTTAGAAGACATGAATGTGGAAGATCAGTGTGTCAGATAGGGGTGCGGTTCCCTGCTGCTGACCCTGTGTTCACCACAGTGTGATCACAATCATGTTTTAACTGTGCTGCGCCTCTTGTTTAGTGCTGTACAGCTTAATACTGTGTATAAGGAATTATTTGTGCCAAATGCAATTAGTAGTTGCCGTGATGTATTTTACTTATAATTTTACTGAAGCTTTATTAAGGTATGTGGATGACTGTATATTTATTATGAACTGATCTGTGACTTGGTGAACCAAAGGCAACTTGTCCACTCATATTGACAATAAAGTCATTCTCTTCTAACCCGTGTGGGCTGTAATAATCAAATTCAGTATCAAAAATATGGTTATTATATATGATCATCCTGAATACATCCAGAAGTATTCCCTGTAGTCCTGATTACATGATGTGACACTGGTAGAGTGATGAAATGATGGTTGCTGTGTGATGGGTATTTTATTTATACCTGTGTCTGATATCCCTCCTTTACGATGCCCCACCCTCTCTTGTTTCACTTGTTTTTTGTGATCAGTTTATTCTGCTCTGCACTTTGCTTTCAGGTCCTCTCTCCAGGAGCATTTTCCACTGATTTGTTTAGCTCCTCCTCCTTTAAGACCAACTCCACATAACTTAAGCCAGCTTTCTTACGATTGGCTGCTCCTCACAAATAAAGTTTAAATGACAGGTGGGTGGGGCTTCTAGTAAGCTGTAAATCCCACTCAGTGGCATCATAGGGGTCCAAGAAGAGAAAGGAAATGCAGGGATTACTCAATATAAGAAAATGTGTGATACTCTGGTTATGTTTAATATGAGCACCAACCG